CTCAGCTTATACAAAAATCAACACAAGATGAATCAAAGACTTAAATCTAAGGCCTGAGACCAAAAAAATTCTAGAAGATAACATTGGAAAAACTTTTCTAGATATTGGTTTAGGCAGACTTCATGACCAAGGTCCCAAAAGCAAATGCAACAAGAACAAAAATAAATAGATGGGACTTAACTAAACTAAAAAGCGTCTACACAGCAAAGGAACCAATTTGCAGAGTTAACAGACAACCCAGAGTGGAAGAAAATCTTCACAATCTATATAGCCAACAAATGACTAAAGTCTAGAATCTACAAAAAATTCAAACAAATTATCAAGGAAAAACTAAACAATCTCATTCAAAAGTAGGCTAAGTATGTAAAGAAAAATTCTTAAAAGAAGATATATGAATGGCCAACAGACATAAAGGAAAATGCTCAGCATCATCTAATGATCAGGGAAATGCCAATCAAAACCACAACACAACACCACCTTAATACTGCAAGTATGGCCAATATTAGATGTTGGCATGGATGCGGTGAAAAAAAAAACACACACTTTTACACTGTTGGTGGAAATGTAAACTGGTACAACCACTATGGAAAACAAAGTGAAGATTCCTTAAGGAACTAAAAATACATGTACCCTTTCATCCAGTAATTTCATAACTAGGTATGTATCCAGAGAAAAAGAAGTCATTATACAGAAAAGATACTTGCAGAAACATGTTTAACAGCAGCACAATTTGCAATTGCAAGAACATGGAACCAGCCCAAATGCCCATAAATCAACAGATGGATAAAGGAAATGTTATACATAGGCATATCATGGAACACTACGCAGGCATAAAAAGGAACAAAATAATAGCATTCACAGCAACCTGAATGGAATTGGAAACTGTTATTCTAAGTGCAGTAATGCAGGAATTGAAAACAAAACATTATATGTTCTCATTCATAAGTGGAAGATAAGCTATGAGAACACAAAGGCATAACAATGATACAATGGACTTTTGGGACTCAGAGGAAATAGTAGAAGGGGGGTGAGGGATAAAAGACTACTCCCCGGGTACACTGTACATTGCTTGGTTGATGAGTGCACCAAAATCTCAGAAATTATGATTAAAGAACTTATTTATGTAATCAAACACCACCGGTTCCCTAAAAACCTATTAAAATAACAAATTAATATTTAAAAAGAAAAAAAACACTAACATCCTTAAAAACCCAAATAAATAAATACGTAAGTAAATAAATCAAATATGAGAACCTCTTCCAGTACAGAGAGAACCAGAGGCAAGAGATGAGGAAGGAAGAATCCGGACAAGCCCTCGCAGACTCTCCTATCACCTTAGATGAACATCACTCCAAGAGTTTCATTTTGATGGACGATCAATTCAAACTTTAAAATAAGTAAACAAAATCAGGAATAATCAACCTAACGGCCCTCAAAGGTAGTCATGAGCCCTCTATGGGATAGGTGCAATTCAGCAAGCACAGGAAGAGTCTCCAAAGAAATTTGCAGAGTAAAAGAAGCCAGAACAAATGGAAAGATAATGTTTGATAACACTGTTACATTCCAGAAAATGGAAACCAAACAATAGTGACAGAGGCAGATCTGTGGCTGCACAGGAGAGCACTGGGGAAGGGAGGGAGGGAGATGACAAAGGGTCATGAGGGGTTGCTGGGGCTGGTCACAGATTGCATAGCTCCCTGTTCATGGTGATGTATTCAAGGATCAAAAAAATGTCAAAATGTGTATACTTTCCTATTATAAATCTGGGTGTTTCATTAGATGTGCATTATTCCTACTTTCTTATTATAAATCTGGGTGTTTCATTAGATGTGCATTATTCCCACATGAAAGGAGTTTTATTAAAACAGAATGGACTGGGGAGAAAAGAAGCAGAGGGATTCACACTGGGGAGCAGGGGGAGGAAGACACCACTCTGGAAACTGCTGGAAATGGGAAAAGGAGGATGATGGAGACACAGGCTCCCCATCAGAGGTGGGTCTGTGATGACACAGATGGACCTGCCACCTCAGCCCAGGACCTCAGTGCAGAGACCCTGAGTCCCAAGCTGCAGGGAGCAGGATGTTCCTTTTCCTGGACACTCTGTTGCTGAGTCTGAGGACTAAAGAGGAGGAGGAGCCTCCATTCTCAGGCAGGACCCTGCATGCCCCTGGACCCATGGAGGAAGCTACAGCAGCAGAAGCCACAAGCCAGGCCTGAGCAGCAGGTGCCGGGGCTCACCCTTCAGGCAGAGGAGGAAGGGGGTTCTTGTCTCACTTCCCCCTGGCCCTGGAGCACTGTGGGACCGTTCAGGCTGTCATCCCATGCTGCGCAGTAATAATCAGCCTCATCCTTGGACTGCAGCCCACTGATGGCCAGGGAGGCTGAGTTGCCAGACTTGGAGCCAGAGAATCGATCAGGGACCCCTGAGGGTCGCTGATTATTTTTATAGATGAGGAGTTTGGGGGCCGTTCCTGAGAGCTGCTGGTACCAGGATACATAATTACTTCCAATGTTGGAGCTGCTTCCAGAACAAGAGATGGTGACACTCTGCCCGGGGGCCCCAGACGCTGAGGGTGGCTGAGTCAGCACAGACTGGGCCCAGGATCCTGGAAGCAAGAGAGACACAGACATGGTGATTGACAAGAGACAAAAGGAGACAAGAGGAGACAGCAGGGCCCCATGGGCTTCCCAGGGACCCACTCTTGGTCCCATATCCTGTCACCTGCACAGTGAGTGAGGAGGGTGAGGACGAGAGGGAAGCAGGCCATGGTGGAGATTGTCCTGAGTCCTGTCTTCTCTAGCCACAGCTGAAGCTGAGCTTCCCCCACATCTCTCCCTGTCTTCATACTCTGAAAGGGGGAGAGTCCGTGCATGCAAATCAGACCTCCCAGGTTTTTGACTCCGCCCTGAGCCCTAGGTCAGGCTTCTGGGCTTGAGGATGTCAGGAGGTGGCAGGGGTGGCACTTTGTGGTCCCAGGGGGTGGGGAGAACACAGTTGTGAGCCCTGAGCAGAGGACAACAGGCAGAGCAGTTGTTTGGTTCCGCTCCGTTCACCCCCGGTCTTTTTTTCAGAAATGGTCCCCAAGTGCCCCCTAGTGTTCAGACTAAGGCAAACCATTCTATGACCAGGTAACCAGAGCCTCTGAGATACACCGCTGACTCCCCCATTCTGTCCACTGCCCCCACTCCCAAGTCCAGGCCCGGGAAGGTGGCACCTGTGTCACCCTCCTTTGATCTCAGGGCAGTCTTCATACTCTACTGGACTTCTCAGGAGTGGATCTGTCCATGGTTCTTTGGTTGTACATTGCAGAGGACTCAGGTGATGGCTACACAAAGTCCTTTTCTTTCAGAATCAAGTCCACAGTGGGGACTGGCCCCATGGACTCACTTCCCCTCCTGTGTTGGACACCGGGTCCTCTCCTCTCATGTGGTTCCATCCTGGTGGCCAGAGCTCTCCTTCCTCTGTGGATCCTGCAGCGCTGAGGAGAAAGGGAGCTCTTTCCTTTGGATGCCCTGGGGAGGGATTCTCAGAGGGAGTTTCTGGTAAATGTTTGTTCTCCCTCTACTTCCCCAGATTTGCAGTCACAGTCATCTGGATACTGTGACCAGGGATCTTGCCTAGGAGTCTGTCCTCCAAGCACTGAATGCCAGTCCGTGGGGGACCTTGGCAGATGTCTTTGGAGGTTCTCACTTATCAGCAAAAAGAGCAAAGATGTTCAGTCTTTGAAGATGGGAAGAATTAAAATTTTAACTTGGTTTGATGACCAGAGTCTGTCCTCAGGTGAACCTGATATGTGATAGCTCTTAGCATCGAGCACCCCAACTAGGATTTCTAGGGAAAACTTATGGTTCATATTCAGTAGTGAGTGTTGTGGGGGTGGCTTGAAGATGATAGAAATTATTCATCTTTGATCTGTAATGACATCTAGAATCTAATAAACTAAAAACAATAAGGTTAAGAAAAAACGTAATTCTGTTGTTTGAAATGAAAAATGAAATAGATGATGTCTATGACTGCGTGAGTTCTGGCATGATACACCCTGGACTCTTAACAAGTATTGGTTTGGGGAATTTTATGGGGATGGAGGAAAACAGCTGGATGGTGATGTTGATATTTATACCGCTGACTCTATCATCTGGCAGTTGCAGTACAATGAGATTTTTTTCTTTTTTTTTTTTTTTTTTTTTTTTTGAGACAGAGTCTTGGTCTGTTGCCCAGGCTGGAGTGCAGTGGTGCAATCTTGTCTCAATGCAACCGCCGCTTCCCAGGTTCAAGCAATTCTCCTGCCTTAGCCTCCCAAGTAGCTGGAATTACCGGCGCATGCCATCATGCCTGGCTAATTAGTGTATTTTTTTAGTAGAGACGGGGTTTCACCATGTTGGCGAGGCTGGTCTCGAATTCCTGACCTTGTGATTGGCCCCCTCAGCCTCCCAAAATGCTGGGATTACAGGCGTGAGCCACCGCACCCGGCCACAATGAGATTTTAAATGCTCCATTGAAACAACCAAATAGTGAGATTTATTATAGACATTTGAATAAAACCAATCCATACATGTAACTGAAGTAAAATGTAGGCTATATTTTGGGATCGCATTTCAAGGCTGACATTATTTTAAATGTTCCTTTTTGTGATAGCCATGTTCCTTTACATAGTTTTTATAGTTTTTAAGATATGTTTATTGTGTTTACATAACACATCAGGCATATTAAGTTTTATTTATTTCCAAGTAGAAACGAGCTATTCGATCTGGGCTTTGCTTCCTGTTTCCTTCTCCTTGCTTTTTCTTTGGTGATGCATAGATGGTCACAGGGAATTTTGTTTTCCTTTCCTCCCACTTTAATGAACAGGGGGTCACGGAGGCTGAGCAGTGTCTCACATACAGGACAAGGCTGCCCACGGCCCCTTCCCTGCCCACGGATATGCTTCCTGATGGATGCCCCATGAGCTCTTAGGCTAAGGACAGAGAGAAGAACAGGTCCACAGCTAAGGAACCTGGACACCCAGAGGCTCCGGGAGGAAGGGGCAACACCTGGACAGTGAACCCAGGACAGAGGACACTGACTATGGATTTTTTATGTGGTCCTCCACAGGGACCCTCACAGACAGACCAAAACCCCAGTCCCTGTGTGTCTTCAGGGTGCAGGTCCTTCCAGGTCCTCCTTTTGTCACTGCTCTAGGCCCCAGGCCTCCGCCTCCTGTGAGTCACAATGGACAGTCTCCTCTTCAGGCTGCACCCTCTTTATCCCATCTGACCCCACACCCATCTCCTCATTCCCCCATAAACCATCCCCTGCTCACTTCCATTAGCATTTTTGCATCATTCTGGGTCACAGCCTCCCCAAGGATGTCTCTGCAGGATATCCATGGTGCAGAGAGCTCAGCGCTTTGACAGGACCGCTGTGCCTGGGCCACCTAAGGCTGAGCACTTCTCTTGCTTCTCTTGCTTCTCCTCTACACCAGCTCTAGGCTAAGCCACATCTAGATCTTTCAGAATGCTGAGCCCACGTTTTCTTAAGCATCAGACTTCCTGTCTCACATTTGGGTCTCTGAGTCACACAGGCTGCATTCTCCTTTCTTGTCATCTGTCCCACAGTTTCAGAGCTCAGGAAATGGCCAGCATACCTGCACCAAAAGAGGCAGTACCTTTCGTACCAGGCCGAAGGCTCCTGGACTGCTGGGTTACACAGGCTGGATTCTTTCTTGTCATCCCCGCCTCATCCACATCCACCATGTGTGGGCAGCTCCTTTTGCTTCTAGAAACAAGTTGATTCTGTTTACATTGGGAGACCAGTAAAAAAAGGAGTTACTGTTACTGAACCCTTGCTTTGCTTTCAGCAACACAAGTGACAGCAGAAGCCTTGGCATGAACTGGTGTTGGTCACAGGCAGGGATAAAGGAGGGAAGGGCAGAGAGGATGAGTGGGGCAGATCTTCTGTCACTTCTCCATGGAACAGGAACCCTTGGTAACATATAGTCAGGGTGCAGCTGTGTGACACTGATAACCAGCCTGTCCTCAGGGGTTGTCCAGGAGGCTGTGTGAATAAACCCAGAGCAGGAGAATCAGGCTGGGACCCCTGAGGGACCATCACTGCTGTCCTAGGTCACAAACGTAGGTGTTCTTTCTGGGAAGGAATGCCCAGTGTTTCTGCGGCTCCCCGTGCAGTAAAAGGTGACATTGAGATGGGGGCTTTCTCAAGAGTTTCCTGGGGAGGAGTCACTTGAAGCAAATATTGGGCAGTTTCTGTACCGGGATGTTCCACAGACTCACCACTAGACCCTGACTCAGTGAGAGCCTCCAATGGTGTAAGAGAGGAGAAGAGAACACAGTCAGGCCCTGAGGGATCAGGAAATCCACCCTCAGCAGTTCCTGTGGTCCTGAGTGGGATGAGCTGTAGGAAAGTCACATCCCTGGGACCTACTTCCCCCGTGGCCAAGGAGCAGCCTCAGCCTTGTCTCAGCCATGGTGGAGCCTCCCCTTGACTCTCTCATGTCCTACCTAGAGGTTCACTGGCCTCAGGCCCCCAGTTACCCTTAGACCTAACCCCATCTCCTGACATTTCCAGTGAAATGCAGGTACCCATGACTGAGCCAGGTCAGCTCTGTATCTGGAATTCTTCCCTGACTTGTGTCCTCAGGCAGCATTTCATATTTGAGGGCCTTGTTCCTGGGACACAGTGAGCCTCAGATATCCCTGAGAACAGACTACTGGGGATGGAAGGGGAGGTCTCTGCTTGTACGCTGGAAGAGCAGAGTCCATGCTGCAGGGGACTGTTCACCTGCTACCATGTCCCCAGGCTCTGACCATGCTGTGAGCTTGGAAAGGCTCATTTTGCTTCTTTCAAGACAAAAGTCCAGCTCCACAGGTACTGGTGTCAGCACATATGGACATGCAGCCAACGCTTCAGGGTCATCAGGTGCTTTGGTTTTGTTTTGTTTTACTGAGACTTCAGAAGGATGGATGGGAAATTGACAGAAGCACCTTTGACAACTAGAAAGTAATTCCAAATGTAGTTTGTGCCTAGGTTGGTTATTTTAAAAATTTAAAACTATTACGGAACAAGACCCAGATCAGGGTGAGGTTTTTGTCCCACTTCCCCATCTGTGTGTGTCACTGTGAGATACATTGTTGTGCCAAGTCGTACAGTAATAGTCAGCCTCATCCTCAGACTGGAACCCAGAGATCAGTAAAATGCCTGCATTGGCCGAAGCATCTTTGGATCCAGAGAAGCGACTGGGGACTCCAGAGCCCTGGCCCTTATTTGAGTCTGAGTAGTAGTACAGTAGGTACCGGGGAGGACTCCCTGGCTTCTGCTGGTACCAGTGTATATTGTAGCCACCAACACTGATGCCACTGCGCAAGGTGCAGGTGAGTCTGACTGATGCTCCAGGAGATGCTGAGAGGGAGGCTGGCTGAGTCAGCACAGGTTGTGAGAGGGAACCTAGAAATACAGGCATTTATAGGTTTTAAGGCAGAAACTAGAGTAACATGTTTTAGGGATCTTTGACAGAAGAGTCACAATCAGGCTGGGTGGCTGACCCTGGTCTCTGAGGCCTGTTCCTACCTGTGCAGTGAGAGAGGAGCAGGAGGAGGAGAGGAGTCCAGGCCATGGTGGACACAGCCTCTTTCCCCGCAGTGGGACTGGGCTGCCCCAGGCCTCCTTTTCTTCCCACCGTCTGCAGAGGAGGGGCTGCTCATGCAAATGTGTTTCCACCCAGGGACTGCCTAGCCCTTGCCTGAGCCCTGGGGATGCAGCTCAGCTCACTCTGTAGACTGAGCGGGAGGAAGATTTGCTTTTCTTCTTGCAAGGCCCTGAGAGGAAGCACCTGTTGAGACCATACACAGGTCCCTGCTCAGGGATCTCTGCCAGGCCAGAGGGGACACAGCTGCCAAGTCCCCATCATTGAGCACAGGGCCCAGCCCCCAGGCCTGGATTTCTTTGAGTGAATAGTCATCATCTGATGCTGGTCCCGGAACACACACTTTCCCATGACTCAGAGACTTCAGAAGCCAGCTGGTCTCTGCAGCTCTCCAGTCACTGTCTGTATTCACATCTCCATGGTCTGATTCCTAGACACTGCTTCTCTTATGCTATGCATTGTTACTGTGACTTCTCACTCCCAGAAGTAGTCTAGGTCTGTGGGATGTGCACACATGTACATATATAACTATTACAGGTGTCAGCACCCCTGCATGGCGTTCTAGAAAAATCTAATTGCCCATGTGCCATCAGGGTGGGCATCACGGAAAAGGGGTCAGCTGAGGAGCTGAGTTGAAGAAAAGCTAGGGGCTCTTTAAAAGGATGGTGAAAATGAGAATTTTCCAGGAAAAATAAATGATCCATCAGATTTCAAAGGCAGCAGTTCAGCAAAAGTTATACATACAATCGTTTTGTATGTTTTATAGAGATTTGACTTAATTTAGTAATGTAGGAAAATTAATAGATTTGGTAGACTTACCTTTACCAGTGAGCAGTGTGACGTATTTCTCTGTTTTATGAAGTTAGCCATTAGCTCCCTAAGTAAAACTTGTCATTGTCTACACAGTTGTGTCATATTTTTTGGTCAAGAATTTGTCCTAGATCTTATACAATTTGTTTGTATTGTGATGTTGAAATATGTATTTTTTGACTGGATGTTTTCAGTTTATTAGAAAGATCAGTATGTATTTTTCCCCCAAAGTTGTCTTGCAAGTGAGAAGACAAGGGCAGAGACCATCACTTCTCAATGTAGCCGCGTCTACTCTTGTGCTAACTGTGCAAATGGTCCCTGGATTTCCAGACTCACAAGGTGCTTTAGTGAATAATGTAGAATCAGTATCACTCACTTTTCTGAGGCGCTCCTTCTCAAGGCATTTGGAGAGATCCCTCTCATTCAGATGAGGCAGGGAGGGCACTCCCTGGCTTAAACCCCTTCAGTAACTCCTCATTTTTATAAAACCTGAGCCCTGAGGCCTCTGCAGCCTGCCCTTCACACTGTGGCCCCTGCAGACCCCCGCAGCCCAACTCACAGCCCCTCCTCTTACTTTTAGGGCTCCAGACTCACTCACCTCTCTGTCCCGGGAAACCCTGAGCTCCTGTCTTTTCCACATTCTCCACACCAACTTCTCTGCCTTTTCCACATTCTCCACACCAGCTTCTCCTCTACCTGTTGGGAGAAGATGGGCTTCTACTTGAAGCCACAGTGTAAGCTTACATTTTGTCCACAATGTACACCTGTTAAAAGCAGAACATAAACATCTCATCACAAACAAGGATATTTTCAACACTGGTTAGCATGGGAACTTTTGATTCCTACAAATGTACAGATAGTTTTCTAGTGAATTGTTTGTACCCCTCAGCCAGCTTTGACCATCATCAATGTGGTTCATACTGTTTAACTTTTCAACACCTGTTACCCAGCAACTTACTCCCTCGTTGGATGATTTTTACAACAGATCAACGAAGAGGTATCATATCATTGGTACATAAATTAACAAATATATACATTTGAAGTGTTCCACAATTCTTGTGCATTAAATCAACAGATTTCAAGGACTCTCACATTAATTGATGTTTTTTAATCATCCATGTCTAAAGTTAATTTATTGTAGGAATTGGGAAACTGAAGGAAGTACAATGAATGCTATGATTTGCAGATGCAGGACTCACAGCATTGCATATGGGATTAGAATAAAGTCCAGATGGGCAGCTATATTCGTAATTGTTTCTTGGCTTTACCCAGTTGTCCTAGTGCAGAAATATCTCTTCTGTGGACACAAAGCACACAAACCCGTCTTTCTTCCTTCAGGAGTTTCCTCATCAAGGCCTCCTATGGGACTTGGGGTTGATGAGTTTAATGTTTGAATTGCATTGATCATATGACTGATTTGAAGCTCTGTAATTAATATTGTGTGGAAGGATATCTAAAGTAAAACTTCTTAGTTATATAAATATTGCCAGAAATGTTCCCAATTCAACCATGTTCTGCAGTTTATTTGCTCTTGAGGGTTTTCCGTCCCCAGAATTTGCTTTATGATCTACTGGCTTCCTGTGGTTTTCTAAGCAGGACTGGGAAACCCCATCACACCCCCTCCACTTTCCCCACATGAACCCATGGGATCCAGCATATGTGGATCCATGGAAATCAGACCATAAATGAGTGAACAGAGGCTGTGATTGGCAGCTGCAGAGACCAGCTGGGCTCTCAAGTCTCTGGGCCATGGGGAGGTACATGTGATACATTTGTATTTTCATATCCATATTCTTCTCCTGCTAACCAAATCCAAAGGAAAATGTTCTCTCTTAATATCTTCTATTAAATGAATTTGGAATCTCAAATACAAAATATCCAGAGTTTTTAAAAAATTACTATCTTGACTTCAGATCAGTACTTCTTTTTGGAATTTCAATGTAGGTGAATACACTACATTGTATTACATGTTTATTAAACATGTATTGAGTCTGTCCTTAGCGCCAGGCAGTGTTTTGGACTCTGTAGCTACAGCAATCACAAGACAGAAAACAGCAAAAACTACAATGGAGAATCTCATGGAGGTTGGATCTCAGCAGGGGAAACACAGCGAACAGAGTCACTAACTGTAAAGAAATATCTTCATGTGGCTGATCTCACCCTGACAAGTTACTCACTCTGAGGATTTGAGCCCATTGCTGACAGCTGAGAGACCTGCATTTCTATAATTCTGAAGAATGGATTGACTTGTTCAGAACTTGATGGTGTTATTCGACTATGTGTGTTATAAATAATCCTGTGTAAACAGAATGCGGTCATTATTCTTGGCCTCATTAATGGCTGGGATCTTACTGTAGGTCAGAGGTAAAACAGAATATTCCCATCCTCCAGAGGAATTCCCCAGGGTAACTAGACAGCTGAGTGTGAGGAGATAGCTTTGTCATCACATAACCTCCCTACTGCTCCCTTTGGGATGGAGAAAGAGCAGCGGAGACACCACAGCCCTGGAAGTCTGCCCTGGGAAGGTGGCAGGGAGGAAGGAAGGTAAAGAGAAGGGTGAATAAGGATGCCTGGGCAGGGGTTGGACCTCCTTTTCTTGCCCGGACACAGAATCCTGCCTTTCCACTGCTCTCTGGCTTTTTAATTGACCTTTACGCCCACCTATCGCTGAGGAAGCCACAAACACCCTGCCCCATAATGACAGCTTGGGAGTCTTTTGCCTGTGCTGGGCCTCAGTCCTCAGTCTCTTGCACCTGCACAGACTGCAAATCGGTGTTCTCCCAAATCAGCTACTTCAGCACTGACACGTCGGCTCTCATGGTTTCTGATAGAGCTCTGGGAGGTTTGATCGTGAGCTTTAACAGCAGCCCCTTGAGTGTGAAGGGCATCATCCCACGTGCTCTGCGATGCTCTGTCCTGACCCTTGGGGCTTTTGCTCCATAGAAAATAACTAGAGAGGTGGTTTGATTGCATGCAAAGTAGCCGCTGAGCTAAATGCAGCACACCAGCATGGCACATGTATATATATGTAACCAACCTGCACACTGTGCACATGTACCCTAGCACTGAAAGTATAATAAAAAAAGAATTAAGAATAATATAAATAAAAACAGCAAATATATATATATATTTGCTTCATATATATATTTATATACATACACCTATATATAAGTGTGTGTGTATATATATATACCAATATATATACACATATGTATATGAAGAAATTAAGCAGGTCTCTTTTCAGGTGTGAAGAGTGATGGTTCACATTAATCTTATTGAATAGAAGGGAAAAGCAGCAATGAGTCCTGAGTCCTATGAGCTTTCCAGAGAGAAGAGGAGCATGACACACTCAATCACAGCTATAGACTGTTGTCAGGTTTCCATTACAGGGACACACTCAGGGCCTCAACCATTCGCCTCTTTCCTCTAGTCCTTCTCACCATGGTGTGGGTCACACACATTCCTCCCTCCTCCCAGTAAAGCTGCCACATTACTTTCCAGAGACCTCATTTCTCATGTGTACAAAGCCACCATGTCCTAACTGGACCTTCTGCCTTCACTCAGTCCCCTTCTTTTTCATCTTCCTTAAAGAAACTGGACTTTTCCTCCTGAATCTCAAACCAGAGTCTGTGTCTTCCTTGCTTCCAACCTACTAATGGCTTCCTGTTGCTCACCATCTTCTGGCTCACGTCACCTCTTGTATATCTCACAATATCCCCTCTTCCCATTTTTGTTGGTGCTTACTCTTCTGTGAGGCATTATCCCTGTAAAGACAGGAACCCTGTCTGTCTTGTAAACTGTGCATCCTGAGCTCTCTCCTAAGCCTGACACATAGTAGATGTTTAGTAGACAATAAGGATGAACAGACCTTTGCATTAGTGCACATGCCTGAGGCAGACCCAGCTGTATTCTGTCCCTGCTTAACCTGACTCATCTTGAGTCTGTCCCCAGGGCAGGTTTTTCCTGGAATCAAAGACTATCTGATTTTTTTGAGGCAGTCTGACAATGCTGTTGCTAAGGGCTTCCTCTGATCGCTGGCTCTGAGAGAACAAAGCTGTATTCTCTAGGTCACTGTCCCTGAACTGAGTATTGTGCCTTGGTTAGCAGTAGCACCAAGAAACATCCACACAAATGGTAAATAGACCAGCTGTCCTGGTTGTGGGTGGTGCTGTTGGAAGGTCATGCTCCTAGGAGATCTGGTGTGTTCCCATCTCCCTTCCCCAGACTGCAGCACTGTTTGGACCTCCTGGAGGCTATCTGAAGCCAACAGGAGTGACTAGCCTTGTCCTCAGACTGAAGCCCAGAGATGCGTAGGAAGGCCTCCTTGCAAGACTGATGGCCTGAGCATCCTTCCTCGATCCCTGCAGTCAGATACTGACTTCTATGAATCAGCAGTTTGGAGGCACTTCCTGGTCATTGTTGGTACCAGGTCACAATTCCAAGAACCTTATTGCTGCTGCTACCAGTGCAGGAGATGGTGACTGGTTTAGCCACAGAGAGACAGTCCAAGCTACCAAATGAGCCCTGATTGCCCAGTACTGTGAGAGTCAGGAGAGAGACACGGGGTGAGGGAGATGGCTCAGTGCACCAGGGGAGCAAAGCAGAGCCCTGGTCCTCCTAGTGCCAGTCCCTAACTCCCTGTCTCCAGCCACCTGTGCAGCAACTGAGGAGGGTGAGGGGGGAGTGCAGGCCATGGTGGCGATGTCTCTAGAGCTCTGCTTCCTGAGCCACACAGATTAGGGGGAACAACGCCTCTTTCCTGGCCTCTCTTGGAGGAGGAGACTTAATGCGAATCTATCCTGACCCCTGGCTGTGCCCCTCATATAAGATGCTGAGTCTGGTTATTCTTTTTGAGGAGTGGGTGGTTGGAAGTTGGGAGAGTGTTTTCCCATCACTGTCCAGGAAACCTGAAAGGACATGGCTGCTGAACCCAATGAACAATAAAGGGAAACAAGGAGACAAGTGTCTGGTTTCCAAGCTGAGATCAGCCGTGAACTCACTTCCCAGGCTGCCAAAAATCCATGGGTCTCTCTTCCTATTTGATTCCTCACTCGATCAGCACATGAGGGAGAGTGCTGGAGCTTGGGAAGAATCAGCCTACTTGTGTGGTTCACTGGCTTCACTGCAAATGCAGAAAACCCCAGGAATCAGGAGAGAGTGGTGGCTGAGGTAAAAAAAATATGTATATAAATATAAAAGAATTAGCCAACTTTGAGCTTCTTCAGAACTAAGGGTATCAGAGAGTTTGAGAACTGTGCTTCTAATACAGGCATGAAGACATAGTATGTAGTTTGGGATATAAATTGTTCCTCATACCTGAATCTCTTATGCTCCAACTATCATGAACAGGAAAGTTTTGTTTCTCTATTTTGTGCATTGGGAAGTCAGAAATAATGTACTCAAGACATTGCATTGAGAAGCACACGCATTTTCTCTGACCTCACAAAATCCACAGAAATGACCCGGAGTGTTTTCATAATAATATTATCTAATGTCATTGTCTGACTAGCAAACAAATGGAATGACTTAAAAGCTAGAATACTTCACTGGTACTCAGTTCAAAATACAATGATCAACTATTACAATATTTTATCCTTTTAAGCACATGGAACACTACCTACATTAACTTTAAATGACAAGGGCATCAAGGTGCATCAAACCAGAGGAATGAGCACAAGGTTTAATCACCATTGTGCAAATAATAAAAACAGAAATTAAAAAATGCATCCAAATGAAGAAAAGTCCTTATTCTGATTGCTTGCAATAAGGTAGCTTAGCAGAGAACTTGGTGTTTTTTTTTTTTTTTTTTTTTTGGAGACGGAGTCTCGCTCTGTCGCCCAGGCTGGAGTGCAGTGGCCGGATACTTTTTGATTTTATATAATAGTCATGTATTACTTTGAAAGTAACTCAGTAAAATAAATTTGAATAATATATACATAGAGAGTTTATTCTCTTTGCTCTTAGCTCAGAAAGCCCATTGTTTGAAGAAGCTTCTTTCTGGAGGAAATGTATTTAGACTCAGCCTTTGGATCTGAACCTGCTGTTTCTTTTTTTTTGTTTTTAATATAAAACAATTTTTTCTTGTTCTAATTCAATTACAGCAAATCGCTCTCACATTTCCTCCACTTCAAGGCACAAGCAGAGATAGAAATCAACTCAGACCCTTTCCTTCCCCTTTCTATGGCTGCTCCCCATGTAGTCTGTCTTGGGAGCCAGCGTGTCTGATCATGTGATCTCCACATCACAAGGGCCTAGGGAGGTTTATGTC